GATAGGCCTGCAGTATTTGGGACGCTGTGAATATGTATGTAATCCTAGATAATTGTGTGTGTGTGTGTGTGTGTGTGTGTGTGTGTAGATATCTTAAGATATTTCAGCATGGCCCTCTTAACCCGTGGTCCATTAACACGCAGTCGTGATGGCTTGACTCATGACATCCGCGCGTAAACGGGTCTGTACTGTACTATGAAAGGTTTGTTAATCTGGGGCCCTTAGCACAGAGTTAGACCTGAGTGTCACTTTAAGCTGGTTAAAGGCCTTTTGACACTTTCTTCACTGAACTGCATTTGGCTGCTTTTTTTGGTTAGGTCTGTCAGTGGGGCGGCGATTTGGCTGTAGTGCTGTACAAATCGCCTGCAATATCCGGCCAAGCCTAAGAAGGATTGGACCATTTTTTTTTACTTTGGGACAGGCCACTTTTGGATAGCATTAACTTTGGCCTGTAGGGGTTGATAGTTCCTTGGCCCACCTGGTGTTCAAGGTAAGTTACTTTGTTTAGGCCTATTTGACACTTCTTAGCCTTAACAGTTAGTCCTGCCTCTCTTAAGCACTTGAAGACTTTTTGTAGATGCTTTAGGTGTTCTGCCCATGAATCAGAAAAGATGGCCACATCGTCAAAGTAGGCGACTACAGATTCTCCCAATTCCACTAGGAGACTATCTACAAGTTTTTGGAAGGTGGCGGGTGCATTTTGCAGCCCAAAAGGGAGCACATTAAATTTATACAGCCCTACATGGGTGATGAAGGCTGACCTTTCCTTGGCGGATTCATCTAGTGGTACTTGCCAGTACCCCTTGGTTAAGTCTAAGGTAGAGATGAACTGGGCACCTTCCAGTTTCTTCAATAGCTTATCTGTGCATGGCATTGAATAGTTGTCTGGGCAAGTCACAGCATTTAGCTTACAGTAGTCCACGCAAAAGCGTATTTCCCCATCTGTTTTGGGAACTAGAACCACTGGAGATGCCTGTGCACTGTTAGAGGGGTGGATTACACCCATTTGTAGCATGTCCTGGATCTTCCGTTCTATAGCAGTTTTGGCTTGAGAAAACACCCAGTAATGTTGGGCTCTAATTGGGTGAGCATTACTTGTGTCAATGTAGTGGTATGCCCGTTCGGTCCGTCCTGGAGTGGCTGAGAACATCGGCACAAAGCTAGTGCATAGCTCCTTTATCTGCTGTCGCTGCATACGTCCAAGGGCATGGAGAGGTTCACCTCTTCCACGCCACTGTCACCTTTTCCTTCGTAGTAGACACTTTCAGGCCCTCAGCGTCATCTCTTCCCTGGGCTGTAAACTGACAAACCTTTAATTCTCTGGAATAAAAGGGCTTTAGAGAATTAATGTGGTACACTTTAGGCTTTAGGTTTGAGATAGGGGATGCTATGAGACAGTTAACAGCTCCCAGGCACTCTTGGACCGTGAATGGCCCTTCCAACGATGCTTCCATTTGATGGGCCTGGAGCGCCTTCAAGACCATGACCTGGTCCCCTACTTTGAAGGAACGCTCTCTGGCATGTTTATTATACCAGGCTTTTTTCTCTTCCTGAGCATCTTTTAGGTTTACTCTAGCAAGGGCTAAAGAGGTTCGGAGGGTGTTTTGTAGGTTGTTTACAAAGTCCAGAATATTAGTTCCTGGAGAAGGTGTAAACCCCTCCCATTGCTGCTTCACCAACTGTAATGGCCCCTTAACCTCGCGGCCATACACAAGTTCAAATGGTGAAAACTCTAAACTGGGATGTGATACAGCCCTGTAGGCAAAGAGCAACCGCTGGTTGCCCACTCCCTCCCCACTCTAAACTCTGGGGTATAAATATGGGGACCCGCATAAAAGACTCCCTAAGCTTATATTTCACCAGCTTAGGTTAAAAACTTTTCCAAGGCACAAATCCTTCCTTGTCCTTGAATGGGTATTGCTGCCACCACCAAGTAAGTTAAACAAAAATTCAGGAAAAGAACCACTTGAAGTTCCTGTTTCCCCAAAATCATAGACTATCAGGGTTGGAAGGGACCTCAGGAGGTCATCTAGTCCAACCCCCTGCTCAAAGCAGGACCAATCCCCAACTAAATCATCCCAGCCAGGGCTTTGTCAAGCTGGGCCTTAAAAACCTCCAAGGAAGGAGACTCCACCACCTCCCTAGGTAACGCATTCCAGTGCTTCACCACCCTCCTAGTGAAATAGTGTTTCCTAATATCCAACCTGGACCTCCCCCACTGCAATTTGAGACCATTGCTCCTTGTTCTGTCATCTGCCACCACTGATAACAGCTCCATCCTCTTTGGAACCCCCTTCAGGTAGTTGAAGGCTGCTATCAAATCCCCCCTCATTCTTCTCTTCTGGAGACTAAACAATCCCAGTTCCCTCAGCCTCTCCTCATAAGTCATGTGCTCCAGACCCCTAATCATTTTTGTTGCCCTCCGCTGGACTCTTTCCAATTTTTCCACATCCTTCTTGTAATGTGGGGCCCAAAACTGGACACAGTATTCCAGATGAGGCCTCACCAATGTTGAATAGAAGGGAACGATCACGTCCCTCGATCTGCTGGGAATGCCCCTACTTAAACAGCCCAAAATGCCGTTAGCCTTCTTGGCAACAAGGGCACACTGTTGACTCATATCCAGCTTCTCGTCCACTGTAACCTCTATGTCCTTTTTTGCAGAACTGCTACCTAGCCATTCGGTCCCTAGTCTGTAGCAGTGCATGGGATTCTTCCGTCCTAAGTGCAGAACTCTGCACTTGTCCTTGTTGAACCTCATCAGGTTTTTTTTGGCCCAATCCTCTAATTTGTCTAGGTCCCTCTGTATCCGATCCCTACCTTCTAGTGTATCTACCACATCTACCTCCTAGTTTAGTGTCATCTGCAAACTTGCTGAGAGTGCAGTCCACACCATCCTCCAGATCATTAATAAAGATATTAAACAAAACCGGCTCCAGGACCAACCCTTGGGGCACTCCGCTTGAAACTGGCTGCCAACTAGACATGGAGCCATTGATCACTACCCGTTGAGCCCGACGATCTAGCCAGCTTTCTATTCACCTTACAGTCCATTCATCCAGCTCATACTTCTTTAACTTGGCGGCAAGAATACTGTGGGAGACCGTATCAAAAGCTTTGCTAAAGTCAAGGAATAACACATCCACTGCTTTCCCCTCATCCACAGAGCCAGTTATCTCATCATAGAAGGCAATTAGGTTAGTCAGGCACGACTTCCCCTTGGCGAATCCATGTTGACTGTTCCTGATCACTTTCCTCTCCTCTAAGTGTTTCATAATTGATTCCTTGAGGACCTGCTCCATGATTTTTCCAGGGACTTAGGTGAGGCTGACTGGCCTGTAGTTCCCCAGATCCTCCTTCTTCCCTTTTTTAAAGATGGGCACTACATTAGCTTTCTCCAGTCATCTGGGACCTCCCCCGATCGCCCCCAAGCCCTTCATCCCTTTTCCTGGAAAGGCTTAAAAATAATATACCAACCAAATAGGTTAACAAGGTAAGCACAAACCAAACCCTTGGATTTTTAGAACACTAAAAACCAATCAAATTCTTAAAAAAACAAAACTTTATTATAAAAAAAAAAAGTTAAAAAAGCAAAATAAAAGGTAATTTTACAGGGAAATAAAATTCAAAACACAAAAAAATCCCCTCTAGGCAAAACTTTAAAGTTACAAAAAAACAAAAATAAACCTTCCTCTTAGCATAAAAACAATTCACAAGCTAAAACAAAAAATAATTTAAAGCGTTTCCTTCCTATTACTTACAATTTGTAATCTTAAATGCTTAGTTCAGGTATGGCTTAAAAAAATGTATTTTCCCTGCCCGAATTCCTCGCTAACCCCAAAAAACCACAAAGAAACACAAAACAAAAACCTTCCTCCACAATTTAAAAGTATCTTCTCCCCTCATTAGTCCTTTTGGTCAAGTGCCAACCAGGTTATTTAAGCTTCTTAACCCTTTACAGGTAAAGGAGGAATTTTATGCTACCCTTAACTGTATGTTTATAACAGCCACCGTTACCATTACATGTTCATTCCAAGGACAGATGCTTTTCTTGATCTAACATGCTGCTACCTGCTGGAGCTCTTCCATAACATTTCCTATCTGTGCACCAGCAGCAGTGCAGCTCCACTGGGAGATAACACCACTGGCAGTGGACAAGCTGGCAGTTTTACCACCATGTTGTCTAGATTTGCCCTGAGCAGGGTTGGTTGGCATGGCAGTTAAAAACACTAGCACTCCCTTTATTACTACCACTGGCGAATACAAAGAAGGGAAATGTTCAGGAGGAAAGGCTGTCGTAGGCTGCCACAAGTACTCCTGTTCTTTTTGCAGATACAGACTAACTCGGCTGCTACTCTGAAACCTGTCAGAGTGCATGAGAAATTCAGCAGCCTCTGAGTTGATGACCACTTCAGAGGGGAGAGTTAGCACCAGTCCAGTGCCTCCCCCAAAGCACTCCCTTATCACTTCTTGTTCTCTCCTTGTTATTTTTGCCCCCTAGGAAGATCTGGAGAAGGAGAGAAGCCAGCTACTGACTCGGGCAATTGTGGCAGAAGAGCAGGTGCTGGAGCTGCAGGAATATGTAGATAAGCATCTTGCAAGGTGAGATGGGGATCCCTTCATCTGTCCCTTGCTCCATGCACAAGGCTTACTTCCAGGGCTGGTGAATACTGTGATAACTGCTGCCTTCCCACAGCGCAACCCAGCTAATGTTTGAAAGTGAATCCAGCTTGTGAGCAGCTGGCTGTCTCAGTAACTCAGCACGATCAAGGGAGTTTGCATCTGTCCTTTCCAAGGCATAATATTTCCTTCCTCTGGGCTGCAGCCCACCCTGGGGATGATGAAAGCTGTGTAGGAGGCTAAGGAGGGGGTGAGTGGGGAAGACTGTCTAGAATTCAAAGCCTTTCCATTTTGCAACTCTTAACATGTCGGCTGTCAACCACTGGTTCATCACAGCCACAACAAGGGAGAAAAGCTGCTAGTGCTGCCACCATCAGGAGGCGTTATTACACAGCTTGTACAACTGCAACCAATTGCTCTTAAAAACAGAGGACCAAAGTCATAACTGGTGTAACTCCCAGGCTTGTTGCTGATGGAATCCCTTGGCTGAGTTCCTAGGTATTAGTTCACATGACGGGTTGGGACAAATCTAGCATTACCCTTAGCTATAGTTTTCCCCCTGGCTGGATAGTGTTTGGGAACTTGACTTCAGTCTCACATTGGCTTTACAATCTCAGTCGTCAGCAGGGTTCTTATGACCACAGCTGATGCAAGGTTGACATTGCTTTTCTTTGTAACCTATGTTTCTTTCAGGTACAAGCAGGAGATCCTGAGGTTAAGGAAACTTGTAGGGAGCGAGGCACCCAGAGCATTCAGTGCTGGGGCTTCTGATGCTCATTTAATGCAGAGATCCAAAAGGACCATCAGCCATGAACTGTAGCTTTTGCCATGGCCCTGACAAGCAGCAGTCATTAGTTCATCATAGGAAAGACAAGGACATAAAACTGAGTGGCTGCCTGGCTGTAATATTCAGTGCTCTGTCACACCAAGAGATAATCCACTCCAGCGAGCGCTCTTCATCCTGGGGCCCTCTTACTAGAGGACTAGGACTTGCTGAGAAGGAAATCAGCAGTATACATTTGACCCTACAGAGGTAAATAAATTTACTAAAAACAGATCAAAACTCAGCGCTTTGTTCCCCCTTTATCTTGTTTTGTGAGGTTTCCCTCCCTCCAGCAGGCCATAAAGATTTCCCTTTCATTGCAGAAGTGCTCAGTAGCCGCAGAGCACCACTGCTGGTACCTCAGGGTGGTGCAGCACCAGAGTGGGTTGAACCATCACCCAAACTTAGTCTACTGCAGAGCTGGTGGACTCAGCTTACTATGCACCTGAATTATCAGGTTCCCTTCACCTTCTGCTAGACAGTTGCCCTTACCATTGTAACAGCTGCAAAGTGCTGTGCTTCACTGGTGCTAACTCCCACCACCTCGCCCCTGTCTGAGCTGGAGAGGAGTAGAGGTAGGTGTCATAACTGTTCATGTGTTCCTTAGGCATTTCAGCCGCCACCTCTGCTAAGGGTCCACTGAACTGCGGCCTCAGCTCTACCATGTACTGGTCTGTAGTGATGCTGTATCCAAGGCAGGCCCTTTCAAAATTTTCTAAGAAGGCCTCAGTATCATCGCCTGCCTTGTAGGTGGGGAATTTTCTGGGATGGGAAGTGGTACCTGGAGAGGGGTTGTTAGGATTGGCTGTTGTATCCGGCCTAGCCCGTGCTAATTCCAGTTCATGCTTCATCTCTTTTTCTCTCAGCTCCATAGCTCTCTTGTGGGCCTCCTCTTTGGCTTTCTCTTCAGCTTCTTGCTCGAGTTTTTTTAATTGAAGCAGTCTCTGATATTTTTTTTTCATTTTCTTCTGCTTCTAGTCTGGCCAGTTCTATTTTGTTAGCTACTTCTTTGGTAGTCATTTTCCTGTTTTCTTGTGCTGGGCCACACCCCTCTGCAGTTGACTGAAACTGGGATGCACTCAGCTCAGGCTGCTGCTGAGGTAAGAGACTTTCTAACTAGCTATCCCCGAGTAGAAAGAAAAAAAAAACAATTCAGCTTGTAAATTCCTTTTACCAGCTGTTTGCTCATTGATTGAGCCCTTCTCTTTAACAAAGACCCTTGTTAAAAAAAAACTTAACACCTCTGCCTTCAGGCAAGGAGAGATAAGATATGCATCTACCTTCAGCTCTGCTTTCCAAGCAGCTAGAAAGGAGAAAAAAAAATCTTACTGGCTTTTGGTTTAAAATGATCCCACCGCTCTGCCACCATGTCAAGGCTGCTTCCCCACTCTGAACTTTAGGGTACAAATGTGGGGGCCTGCATGAAAACTTCTAAGCTTAACTACCAGCTTAGATCTGGTCCGCTGCCACCATTCCCAAAGCTAATTCCCTTCCCTGGGAAGTCTTGAGAGACCTGTTCAGAAAGATTTGGAGAACCTGGATTGATGTCTGGTCCCTCTCAGTCCCAAGAGCGAACAACTTCCCAAACAAAGAGCACAAACAAAAGCCTCCCCTCCCCTCCCCAAGATTTGAAAGTATCTTGTCCCCTTATTGGTCCTTTGGGTCAGGTGTCAGCCAGGTTACCTGAGCTTCTTAACCCTTTACAGGTAAAAGGATTTTGGAGTCTCTGGCCAGGAGGGATTTTATAATACTGTACACAGGGGAGCTGTTACCCTTCCCTTTATAGTTATGACAGTAGGGTTCAGGTTAGGATTTGAGCTCAGCTGCTCTTATGGACAGGGCACTGAGGAGACTTTACAGCTCTGCACTCATGGTGAGTTGTTCCATGGAGAAGGACCTGCTGGGTGGTGACTATGTGAGGAGGACCTACAAGGAACTGATGATCAGGGAGAAAGAGAGAGAGCTGGAGAAACTGCATTACTGAGCCTTCCTCCCAGGGAATTCCGAACACAGTCCAGAATGGCTCTGTGTATGGTGAGGGGCAGGCAGCACCCCAGCCCTGCCAGAAGGATGAACCGAGTCCTGCAGCCCTTTTATTGTTAGAAAATGAATTGCAAATCTATTAAGAAGAGGAAATGAGTTATTTTAAACAAGAATCAAAGATTCAGCTCTTCAGTCTTGTGACAGTTCTTTGGGGATTTCCAGCCCAAGTCCCCAGTTCAAAGGCTGTCCAGGATTCTGGTTCTAGGGAAGCCAGAGCATGTGGGGTAAAGTCTGACAAATCATCACCCCCTCCCTGCTCATCGCAACCCCCTTCTCTCCCATGCTTGCTGGGCTATTCAGCTGAGTAGTCACACTATGGCAGCATTTGCCCTCCAGAGCAGTTCTGAGGGGCTAAAAAAAGCACACACATCTGCAGAGGCTCCAACGCTATTGTCCAGGCTGTAAACCCCAGCTGCAGCTGAGCTCTTGACTCATTCTAGGCATCCCTCAGGTTTGTTCTGCCCTTTTTGCTGTACAGTCTTGATGTCATAGGCCCAGCTTCTGTTTATACCCCCTCCAACACTGGTGGTTGGCATCCAGGTGGGAAAGGAGAAGCGTCCAGCCACCACCCGGGCCTCATCTGGCAGTTCTGCAAGCAGCTTTGTCTCTAGGAGAGGTAGCTAATGGGGAGGAGGAAGGGGAAGCTGTTACTCACAGTCACTGGTATCACAAGAAGGGGAAAAAGTTGTGTGTGTTGAGTTCTAGAGACTTTTTGCAGGTTTGCCATTGGTTAGCAGAGTTGTCATTTTGATTATTAATATTGATATTGAAGTAGCATCCAGTGGCCCCAGTCAGGATCCGGACCCCATTATGGTGAGCATGGTACAAACGCATTTATAGATGAAGCCCCTGCTCTGAAGAACTTACAATCCAGGACACATTCATGGAGCTTGGCTTTATGTTCAAAAATTAATTTGATCTCAACAGTAAACAGTAATGGCCCAGAAGGGGGCTGGCTCCATGGAGATGAGAAGTAAACACCCAAACCAAGCCAAGGACACCAATGCCAGCAAGATCTACAGTACAGATCCGTTTATGTGCGGATGGGGGGAGTCAAGCCGTCACAACTGCGTGTTAACGGACCGCGGGTTAAGAGGGCCATGCTGAAATATCTTAAGATATCTATATATACATATGTATAATTATCTAGGATTACATACGTATTCACAGTGTCCCAAATACCGAAGGCCTATCTGTTAACGGTGCTTTGCAAGAATATAAATTCAAATGTGTAATCTAATAAAAATATTATTATTACTAAACAGGGGTGAAAGAAACTCAGGACACTTACCGGTACAGGGCGGGGGTGGCTCTGGCCCCCAGAAGGGGCAGGGCTAGGGGTCAGCATCCCCCAGCCAGCCCTTCCTGGCCACCTGGTCCGTGCTGCCCGGGGTTCCCATGGTGATTTAAAGGGCGGCGTCTGGAGCCCCAGGCCCTTTTAAATTGCTGACCCCAGGGCAGCTGCTCCCTTTGCCCCCCTGCCCATCGGCAGCCGAGGGGGGGCAAAAGGGGCAGGGACCTTAAAGCGCTGCAGGGTCCTTTGCTGCAGCAGCGCTTTAACGTTGCTGCGCCCACCCACCCCCGTCGGTGGCCCAGCGCTGCTGCAGCAAAGGACTGTCCTTAAAGCACTGCAGCACTTTAATGTCCCTGCCCTTTTTGCCTCCCCTGTTGGCGGGGGGAGGGGGAGAAGGGGCAGCAACATTAAAGCGTTTAAGGATGGTCCTATGCCGCGGCAGTGCTTTGAGGATCCTTAAAGCACTGCTGCAGCAAAGGACCGTCCTTAAAGCGCTACCATGGCAGCGCTTTAACGTTGCTGCCCCTCCCTGCCTCCCCCCCTGTCGGCGGTAAAGACATACAACACGTTTCCCCTCCGCACTTCTTGTCGATTTCTATGTCAGTGAGTTAGTGAGCAAATCTGTAGCGCTACATAGCAAGTTCCTGTACTGCGTGTTAACAAGTCTCGCGTGTTAAATAGGTAGCACTGGGAGGCATGGCACTACCGTGCGTTAAGCGGATTCACGCGTAAACGGGTCTGTACTGTATTCTTTGGTGCTAATATCCACAGAGCAATAAATAATACCTTCATAGAAACTTATCTCGGCACTACCTGGAATGGAGTTCAGTAGGCCCCTGTTGCAAGACACAGTGGCCCCCTGTTGGACGACTTCTAAGTATTGGCAGTCTATCACAATAAGAAGGGCTTATGCTAACCCTCTTTTTATCTCTGAACGGAGGCCAGATCTGCAGATGCACTGAGCACTTGCTACACCCATTGAAACAAGCAGGAGGCGCAGGTGTTCAGCACCCCAACATGTTTAGGAATTTTGAATCACAAAATGCAAACTCTGCTGTATCCGTCCCTACAGCTACACAGTGCAGACTGCATTCACCTACCTCCGTAGTCACAGTGCTGGCTGGGGATATAGTAAGAGTGTACACCCAGCACACATGGGCAGTTTCTCAGCAGATCCAACATTTGGACTATCCCCACTCAAGGAAAACCCCCACTGACTATGATGGGGCCATTAGCAGGTGTCCACAGCAGCCTTGTTAAGGCAGATGCACTAGGATTTCGTTGGTTATGTGAAACATATATAGTTCTAGTGCCATTTTCTTAAGGGTTTTTTGCCAACATTCAGGATGATCCCTTTACTCGAGTATCCTCCCTTCTCATTGATTTGCCCAACAAAGTAGGAAATTGGCAACCAGCCCTTCACCCTTAACCAACTGTACCAGCCTCTAGAGAGTGCTTGGACTTACCACACTGGGAGCTAGGAACATAGAGATGTTGTTGCAGTCAGACAGGTTTACCTTTAAGAAGATAAAGTCAGTCATGGAGAGAGAAATAACAGGCTGAAGGTTCAGTGCAATGTGTGCTGGGGAAAGAGGATCTTAGTGGACTCTTAAATCTATGTATAAGGGTCAAACATCACTTGTTGACATACAGGAAGTTATTCTAAAGCCCAAAGAGGTCAATAATACTGAGCAAGTGAGATTTTTGGGAGGGGGAGTTGTGCTGTTATCAGGAGGTGCTGCAAAAACACTGTTACTGGACTAGATACAGGTGTGTCTCTGATAACGGATTAAATAAAATCTTAGGGTCCCAAAATGTAGAGATGGAACTGACTTATTAGTTCATAGAGTCCAGTAGTTCTCAACCTATTTACCATTGTGGGGGGCATATGTGGCTCTCCGTGTGTTATGTGAGCTGCATCCACACAATATATATACTACTGATTGGGCCGCAAGCTGCCCGTGGGTTGAGAATCACTGATCTAGTCCATCTCTGCCAGTGTTTTCTCCAGCCTAGTTTTAGATGTGTGGAGAGGTTCAGCTTTTGCTAATAGATCTTTAGGAGGCTTGATGCATGTCTAGAGTCCCAGGTATAGACGGGCAATATGAGAGGAACATCTTCAAGCATGCCCTCCTGCTGCACTGAGAAAGGACATTTATGCAAGGTAGGGGACTCTTTCATTGTCCCTCTTGTAGAGCTTCCCAAGGCTCCAGACCTCAGTGTTTTCAACATCATTTTCAGCTGTGTGTGTTAAAGGCCAGGAGAAGGAAAACAGATGGATGATCCCAGCTAAACACACCTGAGGAACCTACAGAGGTGAATTAACAGTAATTCAATATTATTGGACAGAGAGGGCCAATGTGGCTTTCTTCTCCCTTTTGCCACAGTGCTGCTGATGTAGGAACTGAGGAAAGTTTCTAGCACACAAAGAGTTGGATGATCAAATTATATCTGATCCATAAGGAACAGTTCCAGTGGGGGAAAGTGGAAAAAAAATCCAGTGCCTCTAAGAAGTAGGTTTGGAGGAGAATGCTGACCTTTTGCCCAGTGTGGCTAAAGCCCTGATGTCTATGTTTAGCAGAGGTAGGTCCTTTGATCTTAGAGATAATGTAGTCAGTCAGGCTGAGAAATCCAGAGTCCTGACTCCATCACAAGAAGTTACCTTCCATAGATCTTGCCGTTGGTAGAAAACCTTCCCGTAACACCCAGCCCTCCAGGCGCGATAGTTGGAGAGTCTCAACAGCCAGGGGTTGAGTTCGTAGCCAACAGCTGGTCTGAAGCCTTGTTTATATGCTTCTAATACCTGGAGAGAGGAATTGAAACCAAAATAAACCTCCATGTTTGTTCCTGAAATAATCTCTGGAGCAGTGGCTGTAGATCAGACAGCTTCCAGCTACTCCATTCCCAGCAGCAGTCACTGTGGGGAATGGATAAGAGTACTGTCTTTACCTGCACTGCATTCTCTAAGCAGCTCTTGTAGGGAAAGGGGTAGGAAGGCAAGGAGTAGATGATTAATGACCAGATGCCAGTGTAGAAGGTAGCTGGCAAGGCTCAACATGTAACATGGTACGTCCTTCGAGATAAATCAGGGAGGCAGTGGAACAGAGAGAAACTGAGGGTGTGATTCTGTGAAGGGCTGAGTTTTCAACTCCTCTCAGTTCAGCATGCTCAGGACCTCCCAAGAGGAAGTTAGCACCTTGCAAGCTCAGACTAACAATGAGGAAAGGACAAGACAGGGTTTGAGAATGGTTGTAAGTACCAGTCTTATCAGAACTTTTTTCTGATAAGCTAAGGCGATTCCCTTCTACTGGTTGTGAGAGTACTATAGTTGCTCCAATCCCTTCCTTCCCCAGCAGAAGTCATTCTAAGATGATGTGCAGGAGTAACAGCTATGTGGGCGGCTCTCAACTGCTCCATCCCAAATTCGTTAAGGAGTCCAAGTCTAGGAAAGGGACATGTGAGTTGCTCCATAAGGAGCATTGCCTAAATACTCCAGTCCCAGGAGTCTTTGCAGGGAATGGCTAAGCACAATTGCCTTGAAAGAGCTTTCAGTCTAAGGAGTTACGCTGGTGTAAGCCCACCACAACCCCAACTAAGTTTCTCTAGCTCAGGGGTCGGCACGTGGCTCGCCAGGGTAAGCACCCCGGCAGGCCGGGCCAGTTTTATTTACCTGCTGACGCGGCAGGTTCGGCCGATCGCGGCCCCCACTGGCCGCGGTTCGGCGTCCCGGGCCAATGGGGGAGGCGAGAAGCGGCGTGGGAGAGCGATGTGCTGGCCGCAGCTTCTTGCCCGCCCCCATTGGCCCGGGACGGCAAACCGGGCCAGTGGGGGCCGCGATCGGCCGAACCTGCCGCGTCAGCAGGTAAATAAAACTGGCCCGGCCTGCCGGGGTACTTACCCTGGCGAGCCGCGTGCCAAACGTTGCCGACCTCTGCTCTAGCTATACACTGACATAACAGGGAGCAGGATGTGGATGCTCTTGGAGTGGGAGATCTACCTTTAACACTATTAACTCTTCAAAATGCAAACCAGCAGCTGTGAATATCAGACACAAGGACTTTTTTCTCGCTTACAATTCTGCCTTCTCATGACCCTAAATCCACCATCTTCCCAGAGCGTCCTTTCAGCAACGACATCACATTCTCAACTTGCTTGGCACTTGATGGTACATATGGCACCTAGTTTAGAGAAATATAAGCCCCAGTCAAACACAAGTTACCTTTCTGGTGTTCCAGTTGTGTTAGAGTACTGCAGGATGCAGTAACGCATCCTACAAAGCATGGTGTTTTGGGACATGTAGTTCCACACTTGTGCAGGCTGCACATTCATTACAAACAAGGCCCAATCCTGCAAAAGGATTTGTACAGCCAAACGCTTGTTATAGCCCAGAGCTCAACTCACTTCACTAGATTTCCACATGGGCACAAGGGTTTGCCTGTATGGATCTGACTGCAAGATCAGGGCCATAAAGTGAAGTCAAGGATAGCCACTTTGGTCACCTACACACTAGGTCTATCTGAATAGGAGGAAACAGCACTAAACAGTCAGGAGACTCCCAGCTGAAGAAAGCAAACGGGACTGAGACCTAGAGGAGCTAGCCTCAGCCACTATGCTAAGCACAACTGGAAATTGAGCCAGATCCACAACTGGTGGAAGTGACTTAAATGAAGCTGCACCCACTTACCCAAGTGGGAGGTTGGATCCTAACTAGGTCTCATCAAAACACAGCTGGAGTACTAAAAATGAAACCTATCATAGAGATCTTTTCACTTGCAAACAAAACAGTTTTACAAATATTAATCATGTCAGCTATGTTTCAGGTGCAGAGTTTGTAAAGTGGTTTGGGAGCCTTTGGAATTAAACATCTTAAAACAAGAGATATTGGCAAGGTTGCTAAGAACAAAAAATGTGACAAAATAATTCTCATGTGGTTTTATTTCCCATAGCAAATGCCTCAAATATCCTTGTGCCAGCAGGCCAGAGTTCACAAGTGACCCTATAACCGAAGAAGTGAGGTTTTTAATCCACGAAAGCTTATGCCCAAATAAATCTGTTAGTCTTTAAAGTGCCACCAGACTCCTTGTTGTTTTTGTAGATACAGACTAACACGGCTACCCTGATACCTATAACCAGTGGGTACGTGACAGAACAGAAACGCCATAGTAAAGAAATGTTTCATGCATCTTCCAGGGTGCCTTTATAAATCACACTGGGGGAATAAAATCATGTTATATAAAAAGCTTGGTAATATTAATTCCCCCCCCAAATATATACTTAATGCGGCCTCTTCTCTTAAACCAGAACAAATCCCCATTAAAAAGCCCTGGCGAATGATCTACCTGTAACTTTAAAGGCACTCTGCGGAAGCCAGGCATGAGAACTCCTGCCCACATAACATAGGCAGCAAAACCTGTGCCTGCTGCAAGCTGCACGAGGCCCCAGCCACCAATAGTCTTCCCTTGAAACTCCATTGCCAGCTCTTCTATGTCATCAGGATCCATAGCTGTAAAAACACCAGGATCGGAAGGAGATTTATTCGTTAACCAGCTAATCATACCTGGCACGTATTCAGCATGCTGTATTTGTATTTACAGCACTGCACACACAGGGCGACAAAAACCCCACTATTACACCCTCCCTCAGGCACCTGTATTCATGTACGCCCTTCCCCCATGTACCCTCCCACGGCCCGTTTCCCCCATCTGGCGGGCAGGGGAGAGGTTAGGCTCGAGGGCGCGGCCCCTTTAAATCAGGCGTCCCTACACAAAACTCATCAGGAACTACCCGTATGCGTCCCATAATGCACCACGCATACTACCGTACCGAGACATACATACTGTCTTGGCACGCACGCCTCTCCGGTGATGAACAGGAGGTGGTGCTCCGCTCGTGAACACAGGTAACTGAAAAGGTGGTCCGTGCGGAAAGCACGTCCCTAGCAACATTAGTTCCGCTGCTGGGACCTAGACAGCCGTTAACCCTCCCGCTCTTCCCAAACACTACACCCAGTTCCCCCACCGCGACACCCACCAAAGGAGGTGCCACAGACTTAGAGGTTCGGAACATAACTCTCGGCAGTACCGGGGTTGAATGAGAGGTACTGGGGAAGGTTATGATGGAGGGTACTGGGGTTGAATGGGAGGTACTGGGGTTGGATGGGGCGGGTACTGGGGAAGGTCATGACGCGGGGGGGTACCATGGTTGGACGGGGGGTACTGGGGAAAGTTATGATGGCGGGTACCGGGGTTGGATGGGGTGGTACTGGAGAAAGTTATGATAGGGGATACCGGGGTTCAATGGAGGGGGGTGTACTGGGGAAGGTTATGACAGGGGAACCAGGGTTGGATGGGGGGGGGGCTGTACTGGGGAACGTTATGACGGACGGGGGGTTACCAGGGTTGGATGTGAGGGGGGTGTACTCGGGAAGGTTATGACCGGGGGTACGTGGGGTTGGATGGGGGGTGCTAGGGAAGGTTATGACGGGTTGCACTGGATTGGATGGGGGGGC